GAGAAGGTCGTCTATGCCTTGTATATAGCCGCGCAGAAGTTAGCTCCCTATTTCCAAGGTCGAGCGATCCGCGTTTTGACCGATCAGCCGATCGGACCAGTCCTCCGAACCGCTTCATCATCAGGCCGCCTAGTTAAGTGGGCGTTAATGCTGACCCAGTACGCGATCGAATACCGACCGAGACCAGCAATCAAAGGTCAGGCTCTGGCAGATTTCTTGGTCGAGTGTACCGCCCGGGATACCCGACCCCCCGAGGTTGAGGATCCCGAGGCCGAGTGGTGGTCGCTAGCTACTGACGGATCAAGTAGCAAGAAAGGAGCAGGAGGAGGAGTGGTAGTCACGAGCCCAGAAGGATTCAAAGTCTATTTTGCTCTTATGTACCAGTTCCACCCGACCAACAACGAAGCCGAGTACGAAGCGTTCGTTAATGGCTTGCAGTGCGCTCGGGACTTGGGGGCTGAATACATCCGAGCCCAAACAGATTCTGCGCTCGTGGTCGGGCAAGTTCTCGGAGATTATGAGGTTAACGGAGAACGTCTACAACTATACCGAGACCTCGCCATGGAAAAGCTCGCTCAGTTCCGGGGGTATACCGTCCGACATATACCCCGATTGGATAACGCCGATGCGGATATCTTGTCCAAATTGGCCCAAGACGCCCCGGAACACATGTCGAAGATAGCTCGGATCTTGGTGATCCCCAAGCACAGTATCCATCGCCTGCCGGTCAATCCAATCCAACCGGTGGAAGATAGCTGGATCGCCGATCTGAAGGAATACCTCGAGCACGGTCGACTTCCAGACGACCCGCAGCGTGCTCGAAAAGCCAAGTTGAGAGCCCCGAGGTTCCAAGTCGTGAACGGTCGTCTCTATCGGCGATCGTATGGAGGCCCCCTTATGCGTTGCTTGACCGCATTCGAGGCCGAATTAGTCATGAAGGAGCTGCACTCGGGAATCTGCTCCTCACATCAGGGAGGTCGATCCCTGGCCCGTCGTATCATGCTGGTCGGGTACTATTGGCCGTCCCTCCAGCTAGACTGTGAAAAGTTAGCTCGGGAATGTGAGACGTGCCAACTGTACGCCCGGATGCCTGGACGACCGGCAACCTTCTACCAGCCAGTCACGACCGCAATTCCTTTCGCTAGGTGGGGGGTAGACATCTTGGGCCCCTTTCCTCAGCTGTCCGGTCGGAGAAGGTTCGTAATCGTCGCCGTTGATTACTTCTCCAAGTGGATAGAAGCCGAGCCCTTAGCCACGATCACATCTCAGCAGTGTGCTCGGTTCCTTTGGCGCAATGTCGTTTCCCGTTTTGGCGTGCCCGTACATCTCATCAGCGATAACGGTCGCCAATTTGTGAGCCAATATTTTCAGAATTTCTTGGCCACGATCGGGACGACTCATGTCCGGTCGTCTGTCGCTTACCCGCAGGGAAATGGACAAGTGGAAAATGCTAACCGGACGATATTGGAAGGTCTTGAAAAGAAGTTACACTCGGCCGGTCGTAGTTGGGCCGATGAGTTGCCATATGTCTTATGGACTTATCGGACGACCCCGAGGGAAGCTACTTTGGAGACCCCTTTCGCCCTGGTTTACGGAGCTGAAGCCCGGCTCCCGATCGAGGCTTGGATCCCGACCGATCGAGAGAGAACCTACAACGCGGAGGACAATGAACACGCCATGGCTGTGGATCTCGATGCGGTCGAAGAAAAAAGAGAGCTAGCCGCTCGGCGTATGGCCGAGTACCAGAAGCGCGTCAAGAGCTCGAAGGACGTTCGGGTCAACCCTCGCTATTTTCAAGTCGGAGATTACGTTTTACGACGAAGGGAGGCCAGTCAACCTTTAGAAGGGGGAAAGCTAGCTCAGAACTGGGAAGGGCCGTACATCATCAACGCCGTCATCCGGCCGGGAACATACCGACTAGAGACAACGACGGGTCGGCTAATAAAGGGGACTTGGAATTCCGAGCACCTCGTTCTTTTTAGGCATTAGCCTATTTTTTGTATTTTTAGACGAAGTGGGGGCTGGACCTGCGAGTTAGTCCCGGTCGTCATTTCTATGTAAATTTCATGGTTGTAAAAGTTTAATGTATATACGATCGATGATTGCCCGACCGATTGTATGCGGCGGCACGATCGGTTATTTTCTTTCACCCTCGTCATGAGCAGATCACTTCAACATTCAACCGATCGGGCGAAGTCTGTCGACCGGTCAAAATGCGCTCCACATAGGCGGACATTCAAGTCACGCCACCGATCGGGGAAGCCAGGAGCTCTCAGCATTATTCCCCGATCCGTCCAACTTCTGTCCACTATCGCACCCACTCGTGCCTCGTGCGCACAATAGTGTGGGGACTGGGATAAGGCCCGTCGCTCGGTTACATTCCGACCGTAGAGGCTTGAAAATTCTCGGTTACATTCCGACCGTAGAGGCTTGCTTGTTCTCGGCCCGTCGCTCGGTTACATTCCGACCGTAGAGGCTTGAAAATTTCTCGACAAAGGCCTGGAGATCGGGTAAACCCGATCGGGTGGCCAGTTTTGAAGTCGAAACATCGAACGCACGACCAGGCCATAAGGTCGTAAGGTCGGGCGTTGAGCGGATCGGGTGTCGCGAGACCGGGTCTAAAGGCCAAGTGGTCGGGTGACTATGATCGGTGTGCGAAAAATGAAAAGCAAGGAAATAAAAGACGAGCGGCACAAGATAGAGCAAAAATAAAATTTTATTAATCCATCAAAGGCGCCCGGTACAATTCGGGACCGGGCTCCCGGTTAAGGTCTTACAAAAAGAAGAAAAGAAGCCTAAATCTACTTCTTCGCCTCCTGAGCACTGGTGGTCGCCTCTTTCCCGCTCGAGGCAGCCGCCGACGAAGCCCCAGGCTCGGTTGCCCTGGCTTTCGGGGTCGGGGTAAAGGGTGAGGGACCGGGATCTGCCACGTCCGGGGGTAAGGCCGACAAGACCAGTTGGAGATCATCGGCGTCGAGGGCCTCCTCCAACCGCTTGCGGGTGCGTTCAAGCATTTTCTGCTTCCCGGCCGTAAAGGCCCATTTCCCGAATGAGAGCCTAAAGTAAAGAGGAGGGTTAAGAGCTTACCGATTGGAGGAAGATTGAAGTTCGAAGCTTGAAAATTGAAGTTCGCTTGTTCGACTGCCTTGCTAAGCTGCTCTGCTCGGGACTCTCTGAGGGTACCGACTGATGCGAAAGAGTGAGGAAAGTTCAAACGAGGGCCTCAAGGGCCTATTTATAGGAGGGCATTTAGGCGGGAAATGGGCCAACTTGCCTGACACGACCCGCGCTGAATCCGAGACGACGGATGGGATCGCCGAGGCCGGCGGAGGCCGACACGTGGCGTAGAAGGGAATGACAGCTGGCAGGTCGGCTTGGCGGCTGACGGTTGGGCTTCTTCATCCCGTCCCGTTTTTTCCCGACTGATCAAAAAGGCCCGGGCTGGGGGGCTCTTGGTAGGGAATATCCCGACCGACATAGCTCCACCACGACCGAGGAGTCTTTGTCTCTTTCTCCTTGTCTCTGCAGGTAACAGTTCGGGCTCCTTGAGAAGAACCCGGTCGGGAACCGACCGGGAGCTGCCCGAGCGATGGTGTCAGCCCCGAGCGGTAGTCCTTCGGCGAGAGAGCTGACTAAAGACACGTGGCGGCTCTTTACATCGACAGGCAGGGCACCCAGGAGGATGGCACGTGGTGGCTACGTGGAAGACATGCCGAGCGGCTGGGATCTTGTCCCCGGCGCAGCGGCTATAAATACCCACAGTAGTTACAGTGTAAGGGACTTTTGGACGATCGATAGGTTGTAACTAGAGACTCCCGACCGCAGTCAGTCGGTACTCAGAGCAACCAAGTAGATTGTACTTAGGAACTCTACCTTGATCAATAAAGACTTACCTGCTTTACTTGGTCTTGTGTTATTTATATTGCTTACGTAGAATTAGCAGTATCATGCGATTATGAATTTTCTGTTATGAGATTATGAATTTACATTACATTCATAATCTCATAACACAAAATTCATAATTTGATCAAACGCGCGTCGTTAACAGCACATTAGCTAATTTTTTTTTCACGTAAAAACGACGTCGTTTGGACTTGTGTTCACCATTCACGGTGAACACGTTTTCAGGGCATAATTTGCGTGTGTAGAGTGAGCAGGCTAGCCCAAAGCACAATCCAAGTCCAACCTATTTGGGTTGACCCAACAACTGGCCTAGTTGCTATAAGACTTGGATTAGGTCTAGTCCGGTCTATACTACGAACCAAACCAGGCCGGCCGAGTCTAGTGGATCGTGAATTTTTAGCATGATAAATTGATTAATAAAAAATTGATAAACTCGATTACCCGAATAGGTTAACATAAAATTTAGTGAGCTAGCATGATAACCAGACTCTCTCAAAGTTACAATGTGTCATAAGGGATGTGGAACAAAATATATATAACAGTTTGTATGCAAGCTCATTTTTAATTAAGTTTTTATTTATCTAAATTTTAATAAATATATTAATAAATTTATTACAAACTAAATTATTTTTATAATAATAAAAATAAAAAATTATTATAATTATCTAATAATAATAATAATAAATATAATAAGATCCAATATCGGTAAGGCAGTTAAAATGGAAATAAAAATTATGTTGGGTACTAATGTATATTGATAATTTATACATTTTAATTTATTCTTTGTACAATACTAAGACATTTTCAAAGTTACTATCTTTCTCTTTTTATTTTTTTATTTATGTACAAATTTTAATAACAAAATACCAAACAGGCCAGCCTTTAACGTGTGACGTTGCAGGCCGGGATGAAGCGGTAGCTGGATGCATCATCAGAAAACAATATACGTTGCATTAATATTGCATGCATATATGCAGCTCTGGAAAGTAGATATGGCGACACCTGGCCTGTTAGCATGTCGATCGACGCATATATATATATATATATATATATGTATGTATATATAATGGTTGGTACTCAGAGCTGAGCGAGCTGAGAGTTGAAGCAAATTAAATTGGGAGGAGAGAATTGAAAAAGAAAAGAAAATGGAGAGAAAAGTGGAAAATGTTGCAGAGAGCAAAAAGGGAATGGGAATGACGGAAACATGGATGAGGAAGCACGACTTGTTATTGATTGCAGCCACCCGCAACCCTTTCACCCAAGCCATCCGCGACGCCACTCTTCCCCTCTCTTCCTTCAACAATTGGCTTGTATTACTTCTAATTTTTCCCTCCATCAATTGTTTCATTTTGGTCAATATAATATTAATTGATTTAAACATATTTAGGCCATTGTTAGCTGTTAGCTGAATTAATTAGAGGGTATAACTAGTTAATAAGATTAGTTAATTGTAGAAATGTGTTTGGTAAATTAGCTGTTAGTCCTAATAGCTGTTTGGTATAATTTCTTTTCTCAAAAAGTTAATTGAAAAAATTGTTTTGAGTAGCTTTTTGAAGTTACAAAAAATTAATTAACTAAATATTTATATTGACTTTTTAATCAAATTAAACAGCTAATAGTTGTCAAATAAGTTAAAATTGACTTATAAACTAACTATTTTATCAAACAGGACCTTAATTTTTAAAATTGAGGAGCTAAAAATATTATTACGGAGTATTTTTGTATTGTATATATGATATTTGAATATATATTGTTGTAGGGACAAGAGTATTGGCTGGCAAAAAGAGCGTTTGTTCCTTTCCTATCCACTTTGTTGCAGAAAGCAAGACATGAATCAAACGACATAGTACAAGTGATTCAGACCGGAATCGGTTTACAAAATGACAAGATTTCATGGCTGGAACGAGTGAGTATTATATAACAATTCAAGATCGAGTGATGAGTTTTACTTTAATTTGATACTTAAATTTCTTCGTGATGATGGAATTGATCGAAACGTACAGGAAGCGGAGAAGCTCCATGTTTCCCTGGACAGTGTAGTGCCCTATCAGCCCACCATAGACTACTCCAAGCTACTGGAGAGTCTTACCGACGACGACTACACGGCGGCGCTGTCAATTCTCTGGGCTACACAAACTGTTTATCACCGCACCTTTGCTCACTGCTTATCTGAGGGTTCTAGGACGCCGGAGGAGATGAAAGAGGCGTGCCGGAAATGGGGCGGCGACGCCCAAGGCGACTACTGCCTTTCTCTTCAAAGAACAGCGGATGGTGCGCTGGAGAAGGCTCCCCGTGATGTGATTGTGAAGGCTGAGGTTACTCTGCTGGAGTTTCTTGAGATTTCTGTTCAGTTCTGGAATAATGTCGTCAACAAATGCATGCAACCAAACGCATTTTAGAATTTAGAATTTAGATGGATCACAAAGAGGTGTAACACTAACGTGTATCATATCGTCTATATAATACTACTCCTTATCAAATAAAAATAAAGATGCTATGTATGTATTGTCTTGTAAAAATTGTTCCTATCAGGCTATCAGTAATCCTGAAAAATGGTAATGAAAGAATACAAACTGCTTCTTGTGAAGGAGAGCAAAACTTGACACTACTTCAGCCACTGGGTATTATATGTAATTAGCTTGCATTTCCTTCTAAGAAGCCAGAAATGTTAGCAATCAGACTGTGTATCCATCCTACTTAGCAGCAGAAGCTTGTTTTCTTCCATTCTCGTTTTTATTCTTGGCCAACCTACTTGCTGGGAAGTGCAGTCTGGCTATAAGAGGGCGAGGTGCTCGAGTTTTCTGATCAAACCCCCTAACACAGACAAATCCTGCAACACCCATTTCATATGGCATTTGTATGGAGTAAATGAGTATGGAAGGGGCTTAGCTGATTTTGAAATGAATGGTGAATATGAAGATGGTAATGCCTGCTAAATTGCGAAAATTATATTCATCTAATATGATAATTTGAGTACGAAAAAGTTGAATCAAGCCTTTTCCCTTGCTGATATTAATCATGCTTCTCATTTCTTTACGAGTAGTTTCATTTTTAAAAATCATCACCTTAATCAAATTGATATATGGACAAGCATTTTTCTTATGCATGCAGACATTTATGTAATCCTTTTTCCACTGAAGTTCAGCTTAAGGTTAAGCTACAAGTGTGTTCTTATGCTACAAGTGATGGAATAGAAGAAGCTGTCCATACCTCTCCAAAAGCAATGCTGAATTTGATCTGTGGACAGGCCTGATAAGTACACGCAATTAGTTGCTTTAATTTGATTCTCAATCCATAAAATGATTAATTCTAGTTAATGTAATGACTATCTCTCAGCATACCTTTAAAAATTGTGGAGACGGAAGTCCCAAAATACACTGTCCGTCTTGGCAGGTACCATATCAATCGTCTTGGAACATCAATTGGATTAAGACTGGATTCATGATCAGCAAATACCTGCACAACCAAAGAACAGGTGTAAAGATATTTCTTGATCATATGAGAGGCTGAAAGAGTCTGTTCGTTTGCAGGTTACAGCTTTATACTGGGTGTAGCGTGGTAAGCCAAACAGAGACTTGCATTACACTGAATGAATAAAATGAATTATATTTACCTCATTCACTTGAAAATATGTTCCATTGAGTGGGAAACTCCCCCTCATTGCTGTTCGGCATGGTATCTACATCAAGGTAGGTATTTCAGCAAAACCAAAATCATGCCTTTAAATTTCTTTCAATAGAAAATTTTGAATTTCTTATTTGGTAATGTTTAGATTGCTCACCAGAAGTGTGCCCCTGATTGTTTGTGAATCTGCTTCTCTAACATTGTTGCATGAATAGCATGTATTTTCATTGCACAGTCTACCTGATGCTTGATAATCACAGTTTGTTTCAGGAGGTTGAACTGAATTTGCAGTTTCACCTGGTCATTTGGTACCGATCAGGTATGCATTCAGGGCACACAAAAACATGATGGGGAAAAAAAAGAGATAAAAGGAAAGAAAAGCAAAACAAGTTATGGTGCAAACCCGTTTTGAGACATGAAATCAAATAGAATTTCATCAAAACATCTTTGATTACCTGGTGTCCATATAGCTAGAAGGTATGGACTTGGATCATCAGGTTCACGTCTATCCATCTGAATGTTAAAATGTTGTAGGGTCAGTTTTCAAGCTTAGTGTTGTCTAACCAAATATTTAACTTCAAGGAAAGAGAAGATTGATATCTCACCCTTTCAAGAAGTGAATGTGAATCTGGAAGTTCATACCTGCAAAAAGATTATAGAAGTTATCGACAAACAGCAAAAGACATGCTCTATATGACTTAGTTGTGATTGCATTCATTTAGATGAAATGGCAATTTCAGGATGTTCTACAAAGGCCATTGGTTCAGTGCTGATCCTCATGATTGAGTGCCTGATTGATTTGTTAATTACTACCAGCATCTGACATTCTTGTAAAGGTTTCCTATGATTTTTAAATGTACAGAAGTTCATTCAATTCAAGTTGTTTTCTTCTGGAATTGGTATGTCATTTCTTGGAAACTTTATCAAGAATTTAGAAACTTACACTTGGTGTTCTGTACGCAGGCGACTCACATTTTTCAGTTTTGGTGTTGGGATTGAAGCAGCCTCTGGATTCAAAGCAACTAAAGCTGTGGACATATCACCTTCTTGTATTCCCATGCTCTGCTCTTGCAAGATAGTCTGCAGATTGGCTGTGAATTCTTTGATGTTGAGCTCAATCGTAGGGATCTCATCAGGATCCTCATAGAATGCATCCTCAATATCACTTTCTGAAACTTCTGGCATTGGTTCAGGTGTTGCTGGTTCCTCAATAATAGGTTCATAGCTGCTTGTAATGAACTCTGTTGCTTCTCTATTTAAGCTAGTTATCTCTGGAGGTAGTGGCATAGGCTTGTTCAAGAGAGAGGACATGTAACTAGCTTCAAATGCATCAGCTGAGCTTACAGTACGATCTCCTGGCTTTCCTAGGAGAAGTGGCATAGACTTGAATGAGGCAGCGGGATTTCCATCAGCTGAGATAGGTGCACCTGAATTCACCATACTTCTCTCCTCTGGCCCTGGAAGGGCAAGCCTTGCACTGTAGGTAATACGCTATCGCTATTATGTTACACTCATGCACTCTTGTAGTGCATTCATTTAAATGGAAAAGGAATTAAGGGATGAAGGTTTCCAAGTTTTCAACATCATGCAGTTGATTCAAATTCCAAAGTCTTTTTTGTGTGTGTTGTTCCATTATTTTCTGTGCAATTTTTCCTAATATCACGTTACTCAATTAAGTTACCGCATCTCAGAAAAGTGACAGATAATAACAAAATTAAGCCTATAGTGCCCCTTTTTCATTGTTGATCTCAACTTTTTTCTATTTGATTGAAACAGTCTTTAGTAGTGAGCTAGATGCGTGTGTAATTAATTATATTGAATCTCTAACCTTGCAAACGCACTTGCAAAATGCCTACATTCTCCCCTCATTGGACATGCATTACAGTTTGGTTTACTCTTCGTGCAGAAAACCTGCAAATCAAGGTCAGAAATAAGCAAAGAAGCACCCACCATTATGGTCAAGGTGTGCATAATATTTCGAATGAGGACAGTAATAAACTCCACTGGTATGCAACATTTGTACCTTTCCGAATGTAATCATTTGGTAGTGTAGCTCATACCTGCACTTAGTGAGTACTTCAGTGAGTGACATGAATGGTATGTCAAAAAAATTTTTAGTCTACTTCTGGTAAAAAGCTAATTTCTTTATAGGAAATAATGATTTTGAAGGTTAAATGAATTACAGAGTTTTCTGATCCAGCTTGCAGAGTCTGGGCCATAGATACTTTTGAATTGACTCCAGTACTGGATACCTGTATAAAACATGGTAACGTTCAACATAGCAGATAAACTCTGGAAATAGAGGATGCCACATATATCACTTACATCTCAAGGAGATGCAGCTGGAGTGACTCGGGAAGTGGTTGGAGAGGGACCCACCCCAATCGTACAGCAATCCTTCCAACATTTGTGTCAACCTAAAAATTCAACTTTCAGTGCAAGATCCTATGTCCAAGTAATCAGAAGTAGGAAAATGAAACTTACTGGGAATGCAAGATGATGTAGTGTCAATAGGCGCACACACTCCACGCTTTTCAGACCCAGTCCTCGAATACTTAATAGATATTCCCTGTAATACAAAAAAAAAAAAAAAAAAAAAAAAAAAAAAAAAAAAAAAAAAAGTTAGGGAATGATGTAGGAAGTTATGGTGCAAGATATATTAGCAAGTTTTTTGAATTATTTTACAATGCTCACTTTACTTTGTCTGGTGGCGCATGTCTTAACCATTCCAGGTCAATACTTCCATGATCTCTAACCAGCCGGTTAAGGAAATCCTGCACAATGTCAGAAAAAATAACTTCTTTAGGGGGTATTCTCTGTTTTCGGGTGTGGGTCGCTTATCCTGATCTCAAATCTTAAAAAGCATAGTGAACTCTCATGCCCACCTTGATTCTCTCTGCCAGCATGTTGTTCATTCCTCTTCCCTTGATAACAGCAGATATGTCTTTGACCTCTGCTCGTCTAAGTGCTTCATAATCCAGCGAGTCCATTGTGTCCTTGCTTCTTCCTATCTTTTCACTCTTATATTGCACTTGCTTCCTCAAGCTATCCCAATCTACCTTGTTATTTTCCTTTTCAGTCTTTCTCTTTTTTGCATTTGAAACGTTTATGGCGTTCTCAGTAGCCAGTTTGTCAGGATGTATTTCCCCTTCTGCAGTGATTGTATTGTATTTTGTAAGTATTAAGCTTTTCTACAACAGAACTTTCCTAGAGAAAAAAAAATTATCCACAATTATCAGGATATTTCTATGCATCACCTGATTGTTGTTTAGCATGGGCTTTAGCAGTGTCTGAGGACGCCTTAAAAGTGTTGTCCAGTTGACTTATTTTGGACCTTTCCTGTTGATCACTACTGGCAAAATGTTGAATATGTCCAGTCTGTGGATGCGGTTGTAGATTCACTAGGTGCTCTGATTTCTTTTTCAAAAATGCATCTTGGTCTACTCCTGAGGCTTGAACTATTGTGGCCTCTGTTTCCTTGGAAGTTGAAGTACTTGTATTTTGAGCAATATATTCCACGCCTGTGCAACAGTAATATGCACTTTTTTCTTGGTTTGTTCCATTAGCAACTGAATGCAAAGAGGATGCATTTTCTTTCCAAACATAGTCAGAGGTTGTTTCCTGTGTGTCGGAGTATTCTTTTATCAGTAACCAGGGATCACTGAAAGTGAATGCTGAATTTTCTATGCACTGATTATTAGAATTGATTGGGAAATCAAATTCAGTACTGCCCCTGTCCAGTGTACCATTTTCTCTGCTACTAACTGGATTTTTTGATTGCTGATTCCTAGGCATTGTCTTCTTATTCAATAGTGCACTGTACATAGCATAATGCTGAAATTCCTGGAATGAGGCAGTTACTTCAGTCTGTAAAGAAAATTCTGGTTGATTCTGTCCATTCTTAGGACTACTCCCACTTAATCGATCTTCAGCTTCTGAATTGGATCCAGTGCTTGATTTGATTTCTTCATTGGCTTGAAGAATGAAAGACACAGATGAATTTTGCAATGAAATGACTTCTTCCTCCATTCTTCTATTCTTCTCATTTGGTATATGAATTTCTCTTGCTCTCGTTAGATTTTTCATTATGAGGTCAGATGCTTCACCAGATGCTGCTGAGCTGTGATTATGCCCTGGCTGCTTTAGTATGCTCTTATGATAAGAAATAGTGCCATCTGGATCTATTACCTGAACTTCTGTTTCCTTAATCACTGACTGCTGGGGAAACTTGGCTACGAGAGAAATGAAAGCAGAGCTACACATAAAAGGAAAGACATAGGAGAGTATAAAACTTTTGTTTGTGGTCTCCAATTTTGCTTTTTAGTTCTTTTCGAAATGTTAAAGTCATTGGATTTACCTTGAAAGATGGTCTGACACATTTTGTGTGAGGAACACTCCTATTACTGAGTCTACTACTGATCCCTTCCATCGTGAGAATCGTCTGTCCCCTGCACAGATTAAAATTGTCTTTTGGTATGCAGCCATAATATATTTTGCTTTAGAAGGTCAAAAGTGCAAATGTCCTTTTCTATGTTCACATCAGGGAAAATAATGCTAGTTAATTACTAGTAGGTTAACAGTGAGCATTCTATAAACTGCTTTTTCTGCTTTCATTTTGGATGTAGACATGTAATGAGTGGTTCAACTAGAGAAGGGCATTCTAAACTATAGCCAAGAGCTAGTGTGACACAGAAAAATGTGATGTTAACAGTTCCAGTGACTTAAATTTAGAAAGACCATACCAAAACCAATATCACTGAACTACAAGGTCCTTGGCATGCTGAATTTATGCTAACCTTGAACAAGATGCATTCTAGCTATAAATGAGTCTGCCCGTCCCTGGAACACTTCCCTTTCGTCTTCCCACCATTTGGCCTTGTCCTTATCCATTGATTCTTTGCATTCACTTCCTTCCTTCCCCATCAATAGGTTCCAAAGTCTATTTGTCTCTGGATCAAGATCCACTTTAGGTCGCGGCTTTCGACTTTTTGAAAGATCATATCCTTCATATGGTACAAGTGCACCATCTCCTTTGTATGGAACAAGTGCACCATCTCCTTTGTATGGAACAAGTGCACCTTGATCTTCTATATCCAAGTTATTCCTCTTGTCACTGATAGCTAGGCATTCCAGTCGCAATGCAAGTATATCAACAGTAACTGTATAGTCCCCTGATTCCAGTGGGCCTGCACCAAAATTGTTATGGTTAATTAGAAGTCTCATAGCACGAATACTTAATGTGATAGCCAGACATTCCGTCTGGGGCTTTGGTGTGTGTGTGTTGGGGGGGCGGGGGGGCGGGGGGGGGGGGGGTGGTGTATTAGGAGGAACATAAACTTTTGTACCTGTGCAGTGTTGCTGGTCACCTTGTGCATTCTTTTTCTCTCTTGGAATTTGCTTCCTACTGGATCTGGATGCTTGATTTGGTGATGCCTGTCTGACTTCCGTTGCCTTTGCAGAAATGGTAGCAGGTGAAGTCCGTTTTTCATGCCCTTGTACAGACTCAGAAACAGACACTGTAGCACACTTGGTATTCCAGTTTCTAACTGTTGCTAGGGCTTTGTGGCCATCGGTTTCAGTGTGTTGTTGGGACATATTCTCAGCCTCTATTCCTGCATTTGATTGAAAATATGATGGAGTACATTGTTTCTCTGCATTTGGATGCAACTGAGACAAAGTGTGTTGTCCCTGATAGTGAAGCCCCACTGTCAAGGGGTTTAAATGCCGATTGGCCGCATCCCCACTCATTACATTCTCTGCATTTTGACATTTTATTTCACGATGAAGATTAGGATTCGATAATCTGCTATTATCAGGAGATATAGAGCTACCCGTTTGCATGTGTGCTGAGCAATCTTTGACAGCTGTAACATAGGAAGGTGTACTGGTAATGGTTCCACAAAATGAGTCCTTGGACTTCTTTTTCTTGCGAGTTGTTGAACATATCCCCAATGTACTACAATCACTGTTAAGCTTTCCTGTCCTAGACATGTTGTGGCACAACAAGTGAGATCCAACCAGGTTAACAGCTTGTGAATCAGTCAACTCAGAGCTGTGAAGGTCTCTCTTGAATCCTCGGTTTCCAGTCATTTTAGCTATATCTCTCAGCATTTGACTGGTACTCTGCAAAGCCAACTGTCTTGTTTCCTCAATTCTTGCTTGACTAGTGTTTGTTTGGAAGTCATTTCTGCTAATTCCTTTTTCATGGTCAACTTCTTCTACTTGATTGTACCCATTCTGTCTACTATTTTGGTATAGAATAGTATTTCGCACGTTCAAATTTCTAGCTATGGCATTCAGTTTATGACTCTTAGGTGTAGCTGGGCTTGTAGGCACATTAATTGGCTTCTGGAAGCGGCTGCTTGTAGTTACTAGTTGCTGTTCTCCATTCTGCTGCTCTTGCATCATGGAAGTTGTAGACACATCTTTAACCAAAGACACTAGTTTATCTCGAGCACCCAAGTTCAAATTAAAAGATTGGTCAAACCGTCCTCGTGCCTCTACCTGGCTACCCTCGTCTCTGCCTTGTTTTCCATTTGCTGCCCCATTTTCTACGTCGAAGTTCAGAACCCTCCTGCATGATTTTACTTTATCTGCATTTGAAGTTGCAACCCCATTCATTTCATCGTCCTGTTTAGATGATGGGGTCTTCGGTGGCTTTCTGCGCACACGCTTCCTTTTTCCTGATGGATTCTCATTGGGAGTACTATTCTTTGGAGCAGAAGATTTACTGGTCCTTTTGGGTTTTCCTTCAACCACCACCTTTGGCCGGTGTTTCGGTCTTCTAGGAGGTTTAGGCTGGGGGGTCTTGTTCAGGTCAATTTCTGCATTACCTTTGCTATCAGTGTTATTTCCTTTTGACAATGGTGATATTGCTGCAGACAATGAATCTGGAGTATTCTGTATGAGATAGACAGAGTGGTTATCTCCCTCTCGTATAGCCCAGGTTGTCTGTTCCTGGTTATCCTTTTCTGGACTTGAATTTTCCTCGCTTGAAAAGTTTTGTATTTCAGAATGATGGCAGATTTTCAATTGATCCGCCTTATCAGGAGTTATTGGGGCAAATTTGACAAAACTGGCTGCACCTGAGGTTACAACAGTTTCCGGTGATGGTGAATAAATGTCACCGTTGGCAGTATATGGGACGGCAAAACCATCTGTCAAAACAGCATTCAGATTTTAGTTTACTCTAAAATACTTATGGATCTTCTCCCACATGACTATATTGTGTCCCTGCCAAAATGACTAATGACTAATGACTATTATCAAACAAGTATGAATTTTGAGTTTCGATAACTATCAAATGACTAATACTGAACAGTTGACAGAGTCACAGAGATATATACTCTCAGGTAGTCATAAGAATACTTAAGGTTCTCAGAATGAATTCATGAAAATAGATAGTCTGAATTTCGATGCAGTTTTGACAACAGATTTGTAAAGCATATTCACTATAAAATGATTTGGCTAAACTTACCATGAGATTGGCGTTTCCTGGTGTAACTACTGGAAACTGCACTTGAATGCAACACGAGCTTTTGTTTTGGGGGCATTGGACTTGAGGATTCACCGTGAGTGTAATTGCCTTCTAATTGAGGATAAGAACTGGGAATGTCGGGTTTACTTGTGGCAGGGATGCTCTTCTCTGGTGATGCATTCATAGAACAAGCAATTGGTGTGTTCCTCGTTGCCATTGATTTTGCTAGAGAACTACAATTACTCCAACCGGGATTTAGATGGCCAAGATTTTTCCCATATGACACCATACTCTGATCAATGCTTTGGTTCTGAACAACACCATTCTGCCAGGTATGAAGCTCCTTCTGCTTCAAATTCATCAGTGCCATTGAATTTCCATCCATTTGCTCCACAGATCTGACATTCTGAATTGCTCCGGTATCATCTCCTTCTTGTAGAAGCTCCCCGTAGATCCCAACCAGTTCCTGCCAATTTGTCATCTCCGTTTGATTCCCTTGCATTCCAGACGGAATAAGATCATGCCTGGGTAAAATCTGGTTCCCTTGCAAGTCAGCCGGAACAAGAGTGGGTCTAGACAAATCGGTAATCTGTGGTATCACTGGAATCCATGGATCCCCATTCTCTTGGGGAACCGAAAATCTCCTCCCGAGATTCATACTCATTTAGCAAACCACAACCAATTCCAATCACTTCTTCAAACTACCCAAAAGTCTTCATTCTGCTGCATCAATCTGTTACACTCAACATTCAAGAAATGAAATTTGCTGCAAAGTGCAAACAAAGAAAAAATCTCCACTTCCCTATGGACCCTCTTCACTAATGCCCCAAATCCCAGAACCAAACCTATAGAGGCATGGATAAAATTTCATCCAAAGCAAATGGGAAAGCACACATGACAAAAGTGCATTAATTTGAGGGGAAATTAATGAAAATCTCATCATGCAGTAAATGCAGCAATTTCAATTTCAACAAACATCTTTCTCTTTCTTTCTCTCTATGCAAATTTCAACAAGAAAAAGAAATCCCCAGAAATTAATCCAATTTCTCAAACCATGCAACCCCATCACCTATATTCAGTAATAAGCAATTGCACATAACACAATTTCCAGATATGACTGAACCAAAAAGGCAGCAAATCAGAGAGTATAGTAACAACAAATTAGAGAATTCAATTCCAAAAATTAAATGTGCAAGATTGAACTGTATGTACCTGGGCGAAGAAAACCCGCATATCTGCATGCAGAATCTCCCATGTGATTCTAGGAAAAAAATCAAAAAATTGCGATTGCCAATAAGAAAATTCAGTAAAAATGTAAAAGCAGAATGTATGATTGTATGGAAAATAAAAGATTTCCAGTTGTAGATAAGCTCACTGAGTCACTGATCTCTAGCTTAGTTGCTTTGCCGGAGTTCAACGCCGCGCCGGAGAACCAAGTCAGTCCTCTACCACCCAGCATGCTATCACATACACCATTACCAACGAGGAGAAGCAACTTCAGGAGGATTCTGAGCTGCATTTGCAAGTCTCTGTAATTCAAACTTTTTCGTCCAGATTACAAATTCAACTCAATTTTCAAAAACTTATAAATCAACAAATTTCTAGGAGAAAGTGTAAATTTTAGATGAAAAGTCAATTAAATCTCTAAATTTTTAAAAGTTCATATTAATATGTTATTTACCAGGACTATGTGGTCTAATGGTATCCGGGTTGGACTTTCATTTGGAAGGTTGTGAGTTCGAGCTTTAGTGGAGGCGTTATTGGCTCTTTGTGTTTCAGTAGGTTGAGAAAGTATATGAACAGATACTACAATGTAATAGAGCTAGTAGCATTCAAAAAAAAATATTAATATGTTATTTTTGTGCATTAAAGCATATATATATATATATATATATATATATATATATATATATATATATAGTTGATGGAATTAATTAAACCGGGGGTCCGACTTAACTAACCCGAATAAGAATACGAACAGTAGATAAATAATACGAACGATATATCGAAGGCCGTGAGACCGTAAATTGTATTAAATGCCGTGGAATTGGCTATTACAATGATTCTCCAGTACAAAGTGTGTCCGTAAAGTAGATCGTAGATAGCGTGTCCCTTGTCAGGACAAGGAGGGGGGCTTTTATACAAGCCAAGCCCCCAACCGCCTCCCCCTAAAACGGGGGGTTAGTTGGATCTGGAGTTGACCGCGCCCGGTCTCGCGACCGGGCCGCGCTGCGGGGGCCAGGCCGAGCTCATCATGGGCCCAGGCCGGGCCCATGTGGAGGTCGGCCCGACCTTCTGGAGAGGCAAGCCCGGCTTCCTGGAGAGGCAGGCCAGGCCTCCCGGAGAGGCCGGCCCGTCCTCCTGGAGAGGCAGGCCCGGCCTCCAACGTGGCCCGTGCGGGGGCCACGTGGCGAGGCCCCGGCCGGGGCGGGTACGTGGCGCCGCCCCGGGACCCGTCCTTGCTTCGCGCCCTCGGGTCGATTCCCAATATATCCGTCAATAGTGTTCCAAACTTCCAGCCTAAACTTATTTTACTGGTCAAAGTAATGGTAATTTTTATTTGATAAAAAAATAATGCATGAAAATTGGTAATATTGCATTGTATTATGTTGTCCTTAATTATGATTAGAATAAAAAAACGTAAAAATATTAAGAAATCAATGGATAATATTAACATAGAATAAAAGTTTATTCTAAACCCAAAGAATAAATAACACTATATTATGGTAAAGAAGAATAAACAATGTAATAACATAGAATAAAACGTAATAATTATTTGTGGTAATAACATAACAATTTGCTATATAAATTCATCATTGTGTTGAACCCAAAGATGTAAGCTTCCAACGTATTTCTGCATTTGTACTCTCTTATTTACACTGATTCTCAATGGCGGTTCAACTTCACAACGAGATTGTTAGTAGTCAACTTCATCCTAGACTCCAGTAGAATAACATCCGGTTTAGAGTGCTTCGTGTCGTTCGTCTTCCAGAGACAAGAGGTTCTGAAACCATAAACTCTATAGAGTGTGTAGTACATGATGTAGAGGTTTTTTTTTTTTTTTTTACTATATTCTTAATCTTAATATTTTGTATTTCTAAAATTTTAGTTGATGCATATGGTTTTTTTTACAATTTAAGGGAACTTTTATACATATGCATATTCCTCGAATGTATGTTGAAAAGTGGTTCAACAAATTTAAAAAGGCAAAGTTTATCGAATTCATAGATTTGTGGTGGTTTATAATGAGTATAGAAACAAAATTACTAATCACAGGTATATGCTAAAGTTTTGTGACATAACTATTGTGGGAATATTGAAAGATGCAGATTTCCCAACACATGTTTATGACAGAGAAGATTATGATTTCTCCAAAGAGGTGGTCTATTGCTTACTTACATTGCTTTGTATTGTTTTACATTGTTTTGCATTGTTTTGTGGTGGTCTTTTTAAAATTATTTATTTAACTTGCAAGTATAATATACTCCATATATATTAATGAGATGAAAGTTAATGGGTCAAAGATGAAAGTGAGAATAAAATTAGATTTGTTGACAAACATTACAAACTATTTAGCATACTTATAGTTTAATTGTACATATTATTATAGTTTAATTATATACATTATATATTTATCATACTTATAGTTTAATTATATAGATTATTCAATTATTTAACTGTTTATTTATTATCATATTTATACATTTAACTTTTTTAAGTTAAAAAATCTTATACTAGAATAACATAACATATATGTTTATATAGTCCGTCGCACAAGTCAATTATTAGTATAATTAATGGTAAAAAAATATTGGCATACCCGGATACACTAGTGGCTCGGGTCATGAAGGCGAAATATTTCCCGAGGACGGATTTTTTGGAGGCTCAAATAGGTACGAATCCAAGCTATATTTGGCGTAGCATCCTTACCGGGCAACAAGTGCTTAAATTGGGCGTGGCACGTCGAATCGGTGACGAGCGTGACACAAAGATATGGGGTTGGAGTTGGCTTGCGGGACTAACTAACCTGGCTCTAGTGACTCCGTGCGTGGACGAACTACGAGAGACCAAGGTACATGGGTTGCTCGATGACAGGGGCCAATGGGATGAAGATATCATCCGTGATCTTTTCCTTCCAGCTGATGTGGTAAGAATTCTAGCAACTCCTGTTCATTCTCAATATCGGGATTGCTGGCGCTGGGTGGGGGATATCCAGGGCAAATACACCGTTAAACATGGATATCATTTGCTTCGAGATATGACGTCTCGCCAAGCTTTTGTGTCCGATTTCCAGGCCTGGGATGCACTTTGGGCATTGTCCATACCGCCCAAAGTCAAGAATTTATTATGGCGTTGTGCCCGTAACATTTTGCCCGTTCGGGATAACCTCCGGACCAAGCATGTATGGATCGGAGGTGGCTGCCCCATGTGTGGGTTCGTTTCGGAAACAATTGAACATTTGTTTGGGGAATGCGTATTTGCACAGGAAATCTGGGAGTCCACGGATATGCTACACGGACGAAATATTTTTGAGATGATGGATGCGCTAAATGGACACTCAACGGAAGATGAGGCAGTAACACTAGCAGCGATTTTCTGGTCTATTTGGTTCGCACGCAACGACATGGTTTGGAACAATAAGGTGCCTTCTATCAATACAACACGGCAAATGCGCGATCGGATGAAGACTACTTGGAAAGAAGGCTATGCACGTCTGGACAGCTGAGGAGCAACAATACGGCATGCTACTGCTATTTGGACTCCACCACCACAGGACACGGTTAAGTGCAATATTGACGCAGCTTTGCGAGGGGAAGATGCCTTCTACGGTGCTGTACTCGGGGACCACGAAGGGCATTTTATAGCAGCAAGGAGTGGTAGCCTCGCGGGAGAGAAGGATCCATACGTGGCCGAGACGTTGGCAGCTAGAGAAGCGCTAACTTGGTTGAAAACCCAACGAATCAGGAACATTATTCTTGAATCTGATTGTCTTAATTTTTGTAATGCGTTTAATAAGTGTACTTCTGATTATTCGTATGTAGGACTTATTGTAAAGCAATGCATGACAATTGCTAATGACGTCGGGAACGTCACGGTATCCCATGTTAATCGATCAGCGAATTGTGTGGCCCACGAGTTAGCTCGGGCAACCGATTCTACAGCTGACATACGGGTGTGGTTTGAAACTCCACCAGTTTGTATCTCGAGTTTATTACGCTTTTAATGAAATGGTTTCTTTTGTTTCAAAAAAAAATGGTAAAAAAATATTGAATCCAACTAAATTATTTACCTGTTAACTTGGTAATTAAAATATTACAAATTTAATTTCAATGAGAGTAACCTATTAATTTAAATCGAGTTTTGGAATTATGACTAATTATTACTCTCTCTCTCTCTCTCTTTTTTTTTGTACTTTTTTACTAATTTTAAAGAAACTCAAGAAATTATATGAGTGTTTTTTTTTTCAATTACGCAATTTAAACTATTTTATAAATTTAAAGGGCTTATTTGACTTTTTTTTAAATAAATTATATAATCAAAATTACACTAACTAATTAAACTTTACCAAACATTATACATAGGGTGAGAACATCCGTATTAATCTCATCCATTCGATCATCCTAAATGAACAATTGGACATTTGAGATTAGTTTGCAAATTCTCGTAGAAAGTATAGTACAAATACTTTTGATAAGATGTCTTCATTTATGTTCTTCAAAATACAAAATCACAATTACAAATATTATTGGAATTGTAATCTTTAATATTATTGCAATAAAACTACTAAAAATAATAAAGAACATATAATGCCTGCTACCGTACGTTTCATAATTTTGAAACAGTAGTAATTACTTAAGATAAAAATATACTCTCACAAAAAATTTTTAAAAAAAATCTAAACAATGAGCTAAGAACTTGGAACAGATACACCAACGTAACCAATCCCTGCTATGAAAAACGCCATCCCTTGAAGTAATAAGTATATGTAGAAGCTGTTCTTCCCAAAACAGAAATCATACCACCCACAAAAGAAGAGGTACAATGCAACCATAAGCTCCAACACATGTAACCTATCAACAATAACATAAATTTTGATTATATTTCCTTTTTTAGTACTATTGAGTATTGACTCTGTTAGAATATAATATACGTTCATATATATTTTTTCAACTTATTGAAGCACAAAGATTCAATATATAAATGTTGATTATATATAACTATAACTTATCAAATTCGTAATTTTAATTTGGTTGGGCGTAATTTGGCTGTAGTTGAATTGCAATTCAGTGGAAGCCACAATTATGCCGTTTGGTTGGAGGGAATTGCAATTCCACCCTTTTGCTGAATTGCAATTCATGGGTATCCCCCTATGAATTGCAATTCGGTGGTTGTGGGAAAAGGAAAAAAGGATGAAATGACAAAAGTACCCTTAATTATTACTACTATTATTATTACACAAGGACATTTTAGTCTTTATATCACTTTTTTTCATT